GAGACAGCCTTTCTCTTGCCCAACAAAAGACAAGCAAACCTCTGTGCAGCTGAAGGAGGGGGTGGGGTTGGGGACTGGTTATGAGTTTTTCTTATTATGGGGAAACTCAAACTATCATCTGTGCTTGATGGAAGTAAGAGAGAGTGCAGTTGGATCTGCAGAAGCACTGCCTCTCTTATTGGATTAATAGAGAGGAAAGATGACTCTAGAATGTGTACCCATTATCTGCACTACAAAGGGAATTAGTGTGGGTTTCAAAGAAATTAATAGCTTTTGAGTTAGTGCAGAATTACTAATGAATGTCAAGGCCAGAGATGGAAAGCAAACAAAATTGGGCTTTCTTTTCCTTATTGCGTTTGGGACTTGAGTAGGTTTTATCTCTGCAATTTTAAGATTGAGACTTGGGTTTTTTTTCTCTGTTAGCAGAAATATTCTTTAATAGCGTGTGCATCTGCAATTTACTGCAGGCAGTGAATTGATTTATTTACATGCTTTTCAGAAATGATAGTGCTTAAATCAGTGACATTTAAAACAAAGATCTGCCTGGGAAATCCATGTCTATGATGATAAATTGTTAGATAATGTGTTTTTATCATGATACATAGTTTTGCCTTAAGTTGTCTGAGCCCAGCCTAAACTTAATCTTTTTGCTAGTGTAAACATCCTCTGGTATTCAGTTTAACTATGTTTCCTGGTCCTGCCTTAAGGAAAAGGTCACCTTTAACTAAACTTGATCTTAGCTGAACCACTTTTCTCATTCGGTACAGAAGCAAAGGTATGTCTTCACTTGAGAGCTAACCAGTCCTAGGTTGGCCTAGGGCTCTGGCTTAGCTCATACCCAAGTACATCAAATCAAACCCCAAACCCTTCTCCCAGCCACACACAAAAGTGTCTACTTTTAACCCAGGCTGGCTGAACCCTCATGAACTGCAGGCTATGGCTCAGGTTTTGCTCAGCTACTAATTTTGTGGTACAAATTCAGAATAGAGCACTTGAATGCTAATATTCCTCTAAAGTCAAACCACCATACTTCCTTATCTCCAAAAGTACAGACAAGTTATCTCAAAATTATCTGGGAAAGAATCATGGAATGGTTAAGCTTCAGCTTTCAGAAGTCCTAGTCATATGTATCACTGAATACAGTGTATGTGAGGACATGGTTGTTTGTGTGCAGCTTTACGTCATGGCTGCTCACACACAGGCAACCTAATCTGTGTAGAAGTCATCTGAGTGAACACAGCGGTCAAGCTGTCTCCATAATGGTGTCAAGGTCAGTCATCTTTAAAACGTGAAAGCAGGTCATAGTTAACCAGTCTCCCTAATTGGCTAAGTAAAAATCTAATGGGACCAAGAATTTGTTCCTGTTTTGAAGTACTTCAAGTCACAGCCTTGCATGTATATGTGTTCTAACTTTCCTGGGTCTCAGAGGTCACATTGAATGTCCAGTGAATCTCATCAAAATCAAAGAAAGCAAAAAAAAATTATTTAAAGCAACACAAAGTGATGTGGAAATGCTTTGTTCATAATCTATGGGTGCAGTTGTGTTGGTTTGGATCAAACTGGAATTAACACAGAGATCAAGACTTTTTCAACGATTTGGAAAACTTTTAATAATTTCTCTTAAATTACTATGTTACAGATGGACCTGAGCAGCAAAACCGTGGCCCCAGTGAGGTTGGTGGCAAAGTGCCTATTGACTTCAATGGGCTCAGGATTTCATCTTTTGGTTCTAGACCGGGGTGGGCAATTATTTCGGGTGGAGAGCTGCTTACTGAGTTTTGGCAAGCCGTCGAGGGCCACATGACAGGCAGCCAGGGGCAGGTAAATATAATTTTTCTAGATTTTTAGGGGCACTGCAGGCTGGATGGAATGGCCTGGCGGTCCGCGTTTTGCCTACCCCTGTTCTAGACCAAACTTGTCTGAAGTTGTGAGATGTTTGGTAACGTGGTTGGTTTGGGCCTGTTTGGTTTCATAGAATCATAGAAAATGAGGGCAGAAAGGGACTTTCAGAAGTCATCTAGTCTGACCCTTCACTAGAAGCAGGATCTTTCCTATCCAAACCATCCCACACAAATCCACTATCTAACTTGCTAGAAAAACTACCCAGTCAGTCCTGACAGAGCTGCAAAGCAGACACCCTAACCTGCCACAGGTAAAGTAGGGGGACAACAGTGGCCAATGTCCTGCTGCTGCAAGTGTTGCTAAAATATACTCAAGAGATCCAAGGAACAGGGCCACACCACACCCCCCAGCTACAGAGGAAGGCAAAAACCAGTCTATACCAGTCTGACCATGGGGTAAAGTTCCTTCCTGATCCTAAATATGGTGTTTGATCTGACCCTGAGAGAGGGAACAAGATCCTCTAGCTAGGAACCTTCAGGTTTAAGTCTCAG